CTGGCAACTTCCACCAAGTGGTTTTACACAATCTGTAAGGGTCAGTTCAAAAGCAAAGATCATAGAGAAACAAGATCCAGGCCAGAAGTGCACAGGAAAACGGACCAGTGAGGACCTCGTGGTCCTTATAAAGCAGCACAGACAGGGGCTGTGGGCTCCCAGATGAAGGACAGGAGTCTAACAGAGGCAGGGGGCCCAGATCTCTCAGGGAAGAGGTTTGTACCAGGCCTAGGAGCTCAGCCAGGGCAGGTGGGGGGGGCAGGCTCAGAAAGGGGGAAGGTCCTCAGGTGGGATGGTAACTCGGAGAATTTGAGCGGAAGGACCTTGGTAGACCATTTTCCCCACCATTTTTCAAAGGCCCCATGAAAGCTGGGACTGAAAAGGGGACAGCAGTGTGAAAGAGGGCTCCCTGTCCAACACCAGACAGGCCCTCCTCCCAGTCCGGCTCCACGGTGGACATCACCCACCTAAGACCCCCAAGGCCAGGCCTCCCAGGGCAATCCCCATGGCGTTGCCTCTCTCTTCATCATCTGTGTACACACTGGCCAGCATGCCCATCCCTAAACAGGAACAGAAACGGTGACAGCCAAGCTCTGGGAGCAACACAATAATCATCACAACTTGCTCTCCCCATCTGGCCCAGATGGTGGTCTTCCCACGCCTGTCAGGCCAGCAAAAACAGAAGGCCAAGCAGAATCCAAGAAGGCGGTACCTTCTCTGAGAACCCACCACCAACCACAACCACCAATACTTTGATTCCCTGAATTATTCTGGCTTATTCTGTAAAGGGCTGCCAGTCTGGGCAATGCTGGTGGACCCTCCGACAGACGGAATCCCTCCCAGGGCCCTGACTCGGGTTCCACACCTACCAGCTACAGATGAGCAGGAGGAGCCGACGCCTTGCAGGGACCTGGCAACCAGCAGGAAGCCGTAACTGCTGGAGAAGGCGAACACTGCGGAGAGAATGGCCCAGCCGAGCATCAGCACAGCCCCCGCTGATGCTACGACCAAATCATCTCAAACAGGGGCTTCTGAAGGCTTCCCTTAACCCAATGGGCTATTTCCATATCACCCACATCATGCTTTTGCTCTCTGAAGACCTCTCCTATCCACTCCTTTCTACAGTTGCTATCAACACTGTCCCCCTCACCCCAAGGCTGTGTCCCCAGCTGGTGGTGGTCAGAGTCCACCCATGACCCCCAGTCAGAGGGCAAACATCAGATACTTACTAACTGTTGAGACAAACATGATGCAGAATCCCGTGAACATTGGAATTGGATAGCCGATTCTGCAAAACAGAACCAAGACGAAAACCCGGTGACTGCTTTGTATTTTTTAAGCCTCTCGGTTGAGTCTCCCCTGCTTACCCTTTGGGATCAGGAGGATCAGCGCTTGGTCAACTTTTCTAAAAATTCATATAGTTGGTGCTTCCTACATGACCTTTTTGTGTTTGACTGTCTTGGAACGTGAATACATTTATGGATTTCCACGCTGTACAGAAACTTCTCTGGAATAAATGCTAATAAAACATTGGCAAGTAACCGAGAACACGTCCAAATACACAGCCCCCGTTTCCATCCTATTTTTTTTTAATTTCTTTAATTATCATCTTTGCTGAAGCTTCCCCGAAGGGACAACTGCAGTCAAACGATTCTAGTAAAAGGTCATCAAGTGAGTCAACAGGCAGCAGGGACAACCGCACTGCATCCCAGAGGCATTAGGAAGCAGGAGATTTTCAGCTCCATCTTCACATTGACCCCGATGAGGCCAGCTGAGAGAGACAGGCCTTGTTTTCTGTGCAAAAATTCAACATCCTAATTGTTCTGTAAGACCACTGTCCATACAGGGCTCTGCAACCAGGTGGGCAGGGGAGGTGGGAAGACCCTGGCCTTCTGGTATCACCCTCCTGGCTGGACACCTGGCCTGGCCGCTCAACCCAAGCCAATCTCCCTTTGGCCCCACTGAGAGACCACCACCCACCTCCCAGAGCTGCAGTGGGTATAAAATAAGATGTGGATGTTAAACTGCTAGCAGGACACCTGGAACATAAAAAGTGCTTCAGAAATTTGGTTTCCTCCCTCATGCTCTTCCTGTTTTCCTTCTCTGTTTCCTCTTTGTTTCTTTAAGCAAGCAGGTTGGTTCCTGCCGTATGGATGGGGCATGAGAGCGAAGGCCACGTCTTAGTCCCCCGTCCTGAGAGGGGCCCACACTTGCTGAGCTGTTGTCCTACAGGAGATCTCAGTCAACCCAGAACCACCCTGAGCATCTCCGGGCCTCATGTCCCTCCAGCCCCAGACCCTCCAGACCCTGGAGAGAAACCAGATGAGGGACAAGGAACCCTGAGAGTCCCAATCACACAGCCTGGGAGGGCTCTCTATTTCAGGCTTGAATTTTTAAAAATCATAATAACAATACCTTTAGGTTACACTCAGTTCTCCAGGCACTTACACGCATGAGCTCAATGCTCTGACAAGGGCAGACAACTACCTCTCTGTTTTACAGATGAGGAAACTGAGGTACGAAAAATTAACTTGTCAGATGTCCTCAGGGTAATTTCACTCAGGGCCATTCCATCCAGTCCAGGACTTTTTCTTGTAAACTTTACTTACCTTCTCAGGTAGCCAAAAGGCATACGTGGCTTTAAATAGACCCCTTCTAAAAGTTCTAGTCACATTCATATGTATTTTTATCTGCTTCATGTGCATCCAGAAACCAAACAGCATCCAAAATCACGACAGATTCCCAGGCAGTCCCCTCCTACAAACCCAGGCAAAGATTCCTCTACTCTGACCGGAAATGAGTTTGTAACTCACAAAGCGGGGCTTAAAGCCAATCCCATGAACTAGGAAAGATACCAGGGTTCTGAACTGCAGTCCAGATCCATCAAATGGCAGCTTCTCTTGTCTCAACTACCTCCGAGCTGACTGCTCACCGTGCTCTTATTCCTGTAGGCAGAAGAAACCCACGCTAGGTCCAACATGGCACTGCTGGATGCCGACTAAGAAAACTTCCAGGAAGCTCAGAGAGAACTCACAGGCAGTTTATTTTTCTCAGCAACTGCTGCATGTCTGGGGGAAGAACGGACATACGGCTGCCTTGGAATAAACGAAGGCTTCTCACCCCTTTCAACATCTTACTTGGAAAACCATATGTATGTCAAAGCTAGTAGAATACCAGCGATATTATATTTAGTCCCACCACTGGCCAAGGTCACCTGGCAGGACACAGCTGGGGGGGCTCCCTCTTACCAGGAGGCTCCAGCATTCCCGGAGACCATAAGCAGGGAACCAGCGTGCAGAGTCATCTCTGATGCTCACCGCAATTCCGTGAGGTAGCTGGCTTTATCTCTACTTTCAGATGGCCACATTGAGGCTCAAGGAATTTAAGTAACTTGCCTCAAATTCAGGGCAATAAGCATACCTCGAGCATCTAAGGTGTGCCAGGCCCCGCTGGCACACACTGCAGTGGGAACAGCAGTCGCAGGAGCAGAGTTCACACGGGGTGAATGGCATGCAGGGTCCACAGTATCTTTTAAAACCAGGTGGCTCTGTCCCCACAGGGCTGTGTGCTTATGGAGAATACGTTTTACCAAGGCCAGGTGCTGTGTCTCTCTTTTAAAATGCTACAGCTACTGTCTTTTTTCTTTTTTAATTCTTCTGGGATTTTAACAAAGCACGAATGGAACAAGCAAATGGCAAAGCCAGAAGGAAACTCAAAGGCTGGCCAGTCGAACCCTCAAGCTGGACGAGAAAGCTAGATTCAGAGGCAGAGTGGTTCAGCCATGATCACAGAGCAAGTCAAGCGCTTCTGATACCACTGAGTTCGCAATGCTTCCTTTTTGTCCCCAGACACGTGTGTCCTAGACTTTCCACCCGCCACGCCCCTGACAGGCTGACCGGTGGAAAGTGCTGGGCAGCGTCCTCCGCTGGAGCTCAGCCCCGAGGCACATACTGCACAACGGGCAGCTCCTGGCCCCCTGAACACCCACCTCCGGAGAGTTGCCCAAGACCCCAGGGTCACTGCCTGGTGGGCAGATCGCCACTGTCCTTTCTCCTTCCCCACAATGTCTCCTAAATGGACAGAACCTCAGCTGACATTAGTCATAAACGTCTGATTCAGCCTCTTGTCCCAATTCAATGCCATCTCCAATAAAGCACTGTCAAGCAGACCTACATCTGATGTGGCCAACCTTTAACCAAATATGCCGTTATCACCCCCTTGTGAGTCATCCTGGCCCACAGTCTCCCTCCATAGAGCATCAGCGAGCAGTTAATCCAATTGGAATAAGGATGAAAATCACATATTTGAATCTTAGGAAAAAGCACCAAGCAAGAAAAGTTATATTCATCACAGATCCTTACACAGTCAGCGGAGAAATCCCCTTATGTCCCTAAATTGTCACTGACAATCAATACATCTTCTCTAGTGCTTCTAACCAGTTTATCTTTACTACAGAGATTAATGCAAGCTCTCGTCTCAGGCTTGCTAGGACCTCGGTCCCCTCTGCTGTGGTAAGTGACAAAAGCAAGGACACAGAGGAGGGGACCGGGCAGGGTAGAAACCATGATCAGATGAGACAAGAGGTGACGTCTCTCTCTGTAATGGTCTCGACACACTCCTAAAAGGTGAGCATCAGTCAGCAGAAAGGTATTTTTACATTTGCTCAGATATACTGGGAAGCTTATGGTCAATTATTTCATAAATAAAACAAAATCCTAGGTTCAGCCCTTGGGTCTGTCTTTTTTAGCTACTGGATGTGTGTGGGGAGGAACGGGAGCCCCGGACATCATGCTCTCCCCAGGGCTTCCCGGACACACGGCTCACGTGAGGGCTCTGCGCCCACGAGAAGGACCCAATTCCACGGCCAGCTTCTGATTTTGAAGCAAAGACTCCGCCACACCATCCCCCGGACCCTAACAAGGTCTAGGCAGGGAGATCCCTTTCCAGAATAGCTGGTTTCCCTGTCCACGGAGAAGCTTTTTGAGAAGGTCACTGCTTATGCCTACAAAGCCCACTTCAGACCAACCGGCTGAAGCTGGAAGGGAAAAAATATATACATCAACAGTCGATTTTGTAGAGATTTCGTGCCCTGTGGCTTTCTCCCTGTCAGATGTCAGCTAAGATTTGTGAGGGAAAGTAACTGGCTTTCAAACATACTAGGTAACTATGGAAATAAATTAAGCCACTGACGCTGGGTTGATAAAAAGCAGACCACTGAGACAATGACAAGCTGAGGAGGGAGCCCGGGAGCAGCCCTGTCCCCGCCTCCGCCCCCCAACTTAACCCTTTCCCAAGCCGCCAGGTTCCTTTGCAGCATCTTGGATCAAAGATGCAACTGTTATGTGAGACTTACGTTAAGCAAGTGAAGACCATGATGCCACGTTCTTAGCCTGACTAATGGACTTAAGGTGGTTTTCACATTGTTTACCTGCCTGGAACATTCTTTTCGTGTGTGTGTGTCTGTCTGTCTGTCTAAAATCCACCTACTGGGCCACATAATAAAAGGTGTTACTCGTACAAGTCCTTCTCCCCGCTTTACACACAACCGCAATCATAAAATGAATACACTGGAATCAGAAAGTAAGTCCCACAAGCCTCAAAGACGGGAATCAAGTCAACCAAGGCACCCCCAGGTTTTGCAGAGTGTGTGATTGGATGTGCGATCACTACACTCGCCAAAATCAAAGGCCTTTTGCTCCCTTTCTGGTCACAGATTATTCAGTAAAAAATATAGTACCTAAAGAGTAAATGAAACAGGAATTATTTGTCTCATATTAGCAGCCAAACGAGCACTTAAATGCTGTCCAAGAATTATCTTTTTTTTTTATTTTCAGGGTTTAGCATGATCTTATCCAATATTTAAAACCAAAGACAGGCAGCCTGCCTCTTGTATCACCCACCCACAAAAGGCACTCACAGAACAGCATCAGGCCATGAAAAACGGGGCCCCAGCTTATAACATGGGGGTTCAGGTTATGACGTGTGTGATGTAGGATGTCTCATTTCAGAGTAGGTCCCACTTATGGCAAAAGGCTCTGGAAAGGAGTGGCTCCAACCAGCTTGTCTCTAGGATGCTCCCCTGACACCTGTGGGGATGCAGGATGCCTTTCTTTTCCCCATTGTTAGAAGCACTGCAGAGACGTTAGGAAGCTGGACCAGCTCACATCAGAGGCTAGAAAAGGATATTTTTCTAGGGCCAGGGAGGTGAAAGATGCTTCCTTCTCCTGGGTGGCAAACTCCTTTGCCTATAAAATACTAAGGCTGACCCAAAAGCTTCTGCTAAAGTCTCCTCAAGACCTGACACTCCATGTTTTCACTTCTCTTTAATCAGAAACATATTAACCAAGTGTAAAGTGCCATTTTAAACTCACTTCTTCACATCGCTGAAAATGTTGAGTCACACACACATCTTGTTGGTAATTGCGGATGTGACTGGCGCAAATTACATCAAAAGACTATTTGCAATGGCTCACAAGGGAAGGTTCTGTAAAAGGAAATGTTACCTATCATTTCTCTGAGCAGAGCCGTGGAGTCCCTGGAAATGCTGCAGCTCCCCCAGATTCACAGCTACTGGGGTTGGACAATATAAGAAAATATTACTTATTGCGATCATTTTGGAGGGAGAACAGAGTTGGTTCAATTGTTTTGCCTACATCGGTATTGAAATTTGTTTGCATTTCCACACTATAAGGCAGTGCTAGAAGATGGAGATTATTTTGAAATGTGCTGGAGAGCTGGGAGAGTCAGCTAGGGATTAAATTTTTGCTCTCGATGTAAGTTCCAAAGTGGATTACTCACCACACAAAGAGACTAAATTTCACAGGTCACTAAACAAAATTCGTTTTCTCTTGGAAGACATTTTTTTTTGGAGCCCCAAACATGAGCCTTAGGTGGCTGCAATGTCAAAGCATTTGGAGTACCTAATAGGGAAACGGTCTCGCTGGTTTTAAACAGGCTACTTCCCTGTGCCATAAGCAAAACACTAAAATCAAGAATGGGACTTTTTTTTTAAAGCTTTTCATTTGCCATTTGCATTTGGAAGACTGGCACCCTCCCATCATTTCAGCCGAGTTTCTGAGTATTACGCTGTACAGCTAGTGACGTTCCCGCCCAAGTGACTGGCAAGGCGTTATTCCAATAATGTCCTCAATTTTCCCATAGGGTATCTGAGCTGTTTGCTTTCTCAGAATACAAAACCCTGAGCGGTTTTCTGTAATTATACCAGATGCATTTTAAGGAGTGCTCGAAGTCTTGAAAAAAGAATGAAAACCCTGCAACTCCCGAGGTCTGCTTGGTTTTCCTTCCGAAGAACAGAGGAACTGCTGAATGTCACCTGGATAACGGCACCTCTTGACTGGCTCCCAATCAGCCCCTCGTCCTGTGTTAATCTGCTTAGCATTTTCTGCAGTCTGGTAACTGCACAACGGACTGGAAGCTAGATGTGGCTTCAGATGGTTAGGACTGACTCAACGGCACCACTCAGTCCAGAAAATCAGATCACAAAACGTGCTTCTATGCGACTCACCGTGGGTACATTATCAGCAACCTGTGCGTCAGAGGACAGCTCCTGCTGGAGGAGGCAGATCTGCCGCCCCCTCTGAGCCCCTGACAGTCCCCCAGCCTCATCACCTCACCAACCGCCGCCCCTAGAGCTGGCCCCAACCCCTCAGTCACACAGAGCCCCAATCTGAGAAGGGCCCCGAGCCCAGTTTAATGCTTCTGCTGTTGCTACCTTGAAATATTTAATAGTAGTTTCAGAACAGGCCCGCTGGCCCCCCTCCACCTTTCCCTGGGCCACAGCCTGGTAAATGGAAAGCCCTCCCTGCTGCCCAGCTGCAGGCGTGCTGGGCTCCCTGGCTCCTCAACGTGGCTTTGGAACCTCTGGTGGCTCCCCAGTGCCCCTGCAACAAACTCTACTCCTTGCTCACCTAGCATGTGGGGCCTCTTATGGCCCAGCCCGCCTGGTCCCACTGCCCTGCCCTCCTCCGTTCACCCAGCCCCACTCTTTTGTTCCCTTTTCCATCTCTAGTTTTTGTCTTTGTTCATGCTTCTTGGCCTCGTTTACAGGGAGGACTCTGGGCACCACCCCGGGCAACCATTTTTCACATTTCTGCCTTTGGGGTTACACTGCTCTCACGGCGGCCAGCCACTGCCACTCACACTGTCCCAGCTCCTCTCTTTGCAGCTGATACCTCCTCCTGGCTCTGCAAGCCGCCATGCTGGGCTTTGAGGCCCCACGTACCAGGCAGAGCTGGGCCACCTCAGCTGCAGAACAGCAAACACTTGCTGGCTGGCTGCCCACGATGGAGATGTGAACAAGTATTCAAAATAATGTGCGTCTCAACAAGAGTCCAGAACACCTAGATTCATATAAAGCTAGTTTGGCCAGCTTGGATTATCCATAAAAAAAAAAAAATCTCTTCCCTTTGTGCACATGGACCCAGCTCACTCAGTGGGAGATCTGTCTGTTACGCTGCCCGGGACCTCAGGGTCAGCTCCAAGTTTCATACACGCAGCAGGACTGCAGATCACGTCCCACGTTCCCTGCCTGGCCAGCCACACCAGCCTTTACCATGCCTGGTCTGAAGGAAACCACCCCCCTATCTACTATGAAGTGCATGACCAGAGGTGGAAGAGAAGAGAACGGCACACACGACCCCACAATGATGCCCATGGTGGCAATGAAAAGGCAGAACACATGGGAAATCGTGAGTGACTCATGACAGAAACCTAAGGCCAAAGAGACAGAATTTTTCTCCAGCTCACCCAACCCTGGTTCTCCAGGTTCTGATAAATGGGTGAGAAACAGACTCCCCAGGGGAAGTGATTTGGAACAATATAAATCTCAAACTCTTTGACCAAAATTAATACAGCCCACCTGTTGGTCAGCAGTCCTATGAACGGGTTGGTGAGGAGCTGGACAGTGGCTTTCGAGGCAAACAACAGGCCAACCTGCACGTTCTCATTCAGGAGGTCTTTGTCTTCACTGGGACAGTCGGCAGGGGCAGTGGACCCGTTAGTCACTGTGCGCTGTGTGGTGGCCTTAGGCAGCAGCCCCCCGGGAAGGTCGCCGGTGTTGTTTCCAGTGACCATGGTGGAGTTGTCATAATAGGAGAAGATGTTCTGGAAACTGCCTGAGGCGGAGGCCGTGAGCGCTGGCTTGGCAGTCTGGATTTCTACGGCCTCTTTCTCATGCTCAATGCTGTACAAGTAACTTGGGATGATGGGGACTGCGGACAAGAGCAGAACAGTGGTGATGACACTGAAACCCTCCCCAGGACAAAAGCCAGCCCAACTGTGGTCATGTCAAATGCCAAAGGAGACCCTCGCTCCGACACTGGAACCGTTTCACGTTGCTAAGCTCACTAGGAAAACAAAGCCCCCGAGGCTGTGAGCACGCCGTCTGCTCGCAGGGCCAGCTGACCGGCCCCAGAGACTCCTGTCCATTGTGGGCTTTCTTGCTACAGGGCTCCTTCACAGGAATATTTTAGGAAAGAAAGATGAGATCCGAAGTCTAGACAGTGCTGACCTGGGGTCAACCAGTGCTTCTCGGAAAGAACTTTAAGTGAATGAATCAAGGAAATAGAAACCTAAATTTCATTATGTGTCCTACAAAAAAATATAAATAAACCTGCAGGAAGTAATAACTGGGAAATTCTGCAACAGGCCCACTTCATCTTTCTATTGCTTGAGTGGGAAGCTGCAATGTTTCATACAACCCCAAAGCTTCCCTGAGACTTTCATAAAGGAAAGAAAAATTGATGTAACCGAAGCTTTGGCACATGTGTAGCAGAGCATTCAGGGCAAAGGAGGACTTAGGCCCTCGTTACTGAACTTGGATGAGCCCCACAGCTCTGATATTCCTGGAAGTAAAAACCTGGCTATTTGATGCTCTGGGACCTGTCAAGAGAGCACCTGACATTGAGAGAAGGAAAATAACCCACCCCTGAGAGTCCGGAGAAAAAGTCATTTCTTCCTCCATTAAAAAAAAAAATGGGGATATTTTTAAAGAAAAACATGCCAAATACTTTGCTGTTAATGGGGCTTATTAAGAGGTCTGGATGTCAATTATTTAGTTTTTCAAAAACCCATTATAGGAAAAAGATTAAAGCCAACATTGTTCAAATTGCTCTTGATATGGGTCCCGAAATGTCTTCATCTTAAATCATTCGTGAAATCAATACATTTAAACGTGCCTTCCTTTTCTGGAGGGAGGGATGTTGACCTGTTCCTTTAGGTGGTACAGCGAATTATTAACCCACATTTTCAGTGGCATAATAATTATTATAACATTATTTTGAATTCTGAGAATGGCTCCTCCTTAATGAAAAAAATTATCGCGGTGAAAGTGACAAGAGGAAGAAGGAAATTATCAGGAGGAAACATAAGTTCTGGGTCTTATCAGATGTCACATTTTTCGACCAGACTACCAGGAAAACGAAGCCACGAACGCGGCTACCAGCCTAGGCGCCGCAGTCTTGGGGGATGTATTTTTACAAAGCCTGTTCTCCAACTTTCCCGAACCGCGCTCAGGTAAGTGTGGCGCCCAGGGAAGAGGTGCCCGGGGAGGGGGGACGCCCGGTCCATACGTACCCACGACGGTGAGCAGCATGTTGTCCAGCAGCAGCGCGAGGAACACGATGAACAGGATGAGCTTCCGCGAGTGGCGGCTCTCCTGCAGCCAGCGGAGCAGCGCCAGCTCGCTCAGGGCCATGGCTCCGGGGCTCGGCTGCGGGCGCGGCGCGCGGTCAGGTACCGTGGCGGGCCAGGGGCTGCCGCACCCCCAGGGC